TATGCAATTGAAAAACCTTGTTCTATTAAAGAAAAAGTGAAAGCATTAGAAAATAAAACATATTTTGTCCCATTTTCTCTGTATCTGTCCAATGTAACAGCTTCTTTGTAGCCATGATCTGATCACGACTGTCCCTCCACTCTCCAGCTGCATGATCATTCTCCAGGGACCTGAAATGCTCTACTTCTTCCCCTCTATTAGTCAGCAAATTGAAGAGAGAACCAGCATCCTTTATCTACTTTCAGTGGAGGAAGGAAATTGGACCAGGAACGGATTGGTGAGAATGTGTATAGATGAAAGTGGTGGAATCAAATTGGACTGCTTCTTACCCAGAAGTCTTCCTCCAGTTGAAATACTGTATTAATTTTACGGGAAACTTCACTTGATTTTTCTGGCTGCACATTTATTAATTTTCTCCACATAAATTTTTCCTTTGCTAAATTTTAAACAAATCACCATAAACCATATCGCCTCCTGTGATTTGTGTGACTTCTGTTCTTAGATCTCCATCATCCTGAAGCTCTGAAAGGACTTGAGGATATCAACACTCACCCTCTCCTATGTTCACAGAACAATTGAGAAAGTGACTTAGAGGGGAAAATGGAAAAACAAGGCCACTGAAAACTTTAAGTGCACAATTGATGTACAAACATAAATCAATCACTATGGGATTATGAGCTTTCTGCCAGGAGTTAAACCCTCTGTAAACAGAAATCACACTTGTTTCAATATTTCAGGGTCTTAATCTGCTTCTGTTCACTTTTGCTGTTAACAACCCTGTCAGTTATCAGTCTGGGGCATCTCAGCAATGCATTCATTGAGGGAACAGATCCCTTTTCCCACAGCTTAAGCAAGAGAAAGGTGGAAATTTTTGCTTTGGAATGGAAATAAGGCAGGGAGAAGATGAAGGGAAGGAAATAAGAACTGAAGGAAAGGCTTGCCATGTTTTTTTTTTTTTTTTTTTCCCCTTGAAGAATTGCTGGTGGCGAGGATGAGTCAGGATGTTTCATCCAGAGACTCTGGGGGCAGAGCCTGAAGTAACTCATCACAAACACAGAGCTTCTTTGAACTCTCAAGTTTAATCATTAAAAGAGAATTTGAATTTTGTTACATAACATGTATACTTATCAGTATACAAGTAATTTTAAATCTGTTAATTATGTTACCATCTACATACCCCCCTCCAATAAAATTTTTGATCAGAGTAAAATAGCAGAACCTTCACTACTTGGCAAAAAAAATGACATTAGATCTTAGCAAATCAAGGAGATTCAAGCAGTCTTCATGTTACTGAAACACTCTAAGAACAAGCACATTTTTAGGAATAGGAATAGTATAATGCAAGATGGCATTAAATTTGAATGACTAGGATATCTAGATATTTATATTGTTAAGGAAACTTTTTTTATATCTTCAGAGGAATGCATGATTAATCCACCTTCCATAAAGCTTTCTAGTTATTTTTATTTAATTCATTAAAAGTCAACATTTTTCCTACTAAAGTCACTTTATTTAAAATAGGATATTCATATATATCTTGGACTATTTCTGGGAATTCTATCCAGTTCCATTTTTTTCTATTAGTATAATGATATTAAATGGCTTTTAATTATGAGAAACTTATTAATATCAATTTCTGTTTCCCACTAATTTATCTTCCTTTCTGTTTTTTTTTTTCTTAGTAATTCTTGTAGGGTTTTTTGTGCAAATGAAATTCTAATTTTAACGTAAAAATCTATAAATGCTGTATTGGAATTGATTTACTTTTAATACAACTTTGAAAAAGCTGACATCTTTGTGCAGTTTCTTTCACTATTCATGATTGCAGTGTGTTTTTCCTTTTGAGAAACGTGTTGTCAGAGTACTCTGGGAGTATTTGATTTTTTCCAATAAATGTTTTTAAATTGTATTCTTAAGTTATCCCGATGTGTTTTTTTTCCACTGTAAATGGGACGTTCCCTTCCACTGTGTTTTCTAAGTGATTTTTAATTGTATACATAATGGATACTGCTGTGTATACTAATACGTCTAATAGAAACTTCTCCTGGTTCTATACAACTCCATTTTAATTTAGATATCTGAAAACGGAAAAGCCATTTATCATTTCTGAAGGACATATCAAAATAATCTGCTTTCAGTTTATTTTATAAAATATCTGAAGAAGTTGATTCCTAGAAATATCAAGTAATCATTAAGACTAAATAAGATCTCACCTTGAAGTATCAAGATGTAGGCTATGGTTTTAATGTACTCCTCAAAGTTTCTATGTTGGATATCTGATTCCAAAATAAGATTTGGGAGGTAGCATCTTTTTTTTTTTTTTTTTTTGACAGGCAGAGTGGACAGTGAGAGAGAGAGACAGAGAGAAAGGTCTTCCTTTGCCGTTGGTTCACCCTCCAATGGCCGCCGCGGCTGGCGCGCTGCGGCCGGCGCACCGCGCTGATCCGATGGCAGGAGCCAGGAGCCAGGTGCTTTTCCTGGTCTCTGTGGGGTGCAGGGCCCAAGCACCTGGGCCATCCTCCACTGCACTCCCTGGCCACAGCAGAGGGCTGGCCTGGAAGAGGGGCAACCGGGACAGAATCCGGCGCCCCGACCGGGACTAGAACCCGGTGTGCCGGCGCCGCTAGGCGGAGGATTAGCCTATTGAGCCGCGGCGCCGGCGGGAGGTAGCATCTTTACAACGTGATAAATTAATCCTTTCATCCAGGAGTATGTTTTTCCTTGTGGGAGTGGATTCCTTATATCTCTCTCCCTCTCCCTTTCATGGCCCCTGCCTTTCTGCCAGAGCAAGGCCTTGCTGGAGAGGAACCCCTCCTTCTTGGACTTTCCAGGCTGCATAATCAAGAGTCTATACATTTCTGTTTATTACAATTACCAGGTTTGTGGTTTTCTGTTCTAGCCACACAAAATGGTTAAGTACCAATAAACAATTGGTTAAAAACCTTATATTTAACTCAAAGACGAAAAATAACACGCTCAAGGCCCAAATGAAGGGAAACAGTTACAGAGAAAGTGAGACAGAAATACGTCTTTCCTCATTAGTTCTTTTTTATACATAATTGTATTTTAGGATCTTTTTTTTTTCTTCTCTGCTCTGCCTTGAAATTCTTTCATAGCTACAATAACGTTAGAAGGTTCAGTGACCCACCTATACATATGCAATCGTAATTAGTATGTTACTATTTATGTGATATTTGCAGATGGGGAATGAGAAAGGGCTTGCAAAGTCATTAAAATTAAGTATTTTTTAACAAGCCAAAAATATTTACATTTTAGAGTTGAAAAATGAATATGAGCAAGGAAGTAAAGCTAAGATACCATAGCTATCCATCACCTCCATCAGTTTGCAATCAATTAAAGATGGTTATCAGCCCCAATACTATTATTAAGCTCCTTTAGAACATTTAGCTGGAAGATAAATGCATGCATTTTTGTTAATAAAATGTATGAGTAACAGAAGCATAATAAAGGAGAATTGTTTAAGAAAAACTGAAATGGAAATAGTGTAATATTTTAAGGTGTATATTTAAAAATTTGTGTGTGTGTGCATGTGTGCATCAGGATATATTGACATTGATAGGAGATTGGGGAATTCTGAATGAACAGGCAGGTCTTTAAAACACTGTGACCATTTAGCAGTGTATGACCTTGACCTTGCACATGTTACATAACCTCCCTGAACTTGTGTTTTCAAAGGGCAGGGAGGATTGTTCGCATGAAAATTACATGAGGAAATACATCTGAAAATCTATTATATATTTAAATGTGATGCAAACGTGGAACACTTCACAGTACCATTATTTTGACCATCATCATTGCATTTTAAGTTTTAATCCTAAAATCTTTTGTATCATCTTATCTCTCTGTGATATTCATGTTTAATAATTATTACATACAACTTTTTCATTTTAAGAGATAATTTGAAGTCAATAACAACTAATATTTTATCCCTTCAAATAAATTCTATTACTGATATTCTTAATAAAAAATGTCATAATAGTCATCATACATAGGGATAGGGAGAACTGAAAATGCCAAGGAACTATTTGCAGTATTTCTTCCTCTGCACTACCTGCTAAATTTGAGGGGAATATTTTCTACCATTGGTGTCTCTTTGTTTAGTGTGGAACTTGTTAACATTTGGCTCCATAGAGGTACAAGACATTTTGAGTTCATGAAAAAGTGAAATAAACCATGTTTTATTTCTCTATCCGTCTTAAGTTTAGAACCAGTTCTAGACAACAAATTCTACTGAATTGCAAGGCAGCTCTACTCTCCTTTTAAACTCCTTAGCTTCTTTTCTTGTCCCCTGTCAGGGACCATGCAGCATGTGGCCTCTTAGTGGAAAACTACTGAGGCAGGACTAAACAGCCCAGACTGGAGAGTACTGATAATGCAACCTTGTGTGACCTTGTGCCTTAAAACCTTGTAACCTTTCCCCTATTTGCACAAGCATTGCAGCTACAAGATAAGCTCCCCCTCCTTCCCCCGCCGGATGTCCTGCCCTCCTAAACACCCCTCCTTCCCCCGCCCAAGCCCAACACCTTGCCTTTATGATATATAAGTGTGTGGTTGAAAAATAAAAATTGCAGCTTGATCAGGACCCTTGTCTTGCTGCCATCTTTGTGTCTCCTGTCCCTTCATTTCTCCTTCTAGGTGCTTGGCCCTAGTTGACGTCCCACGGGATAGGACAGTCCCTTCTTTCAAATCACAGATATTACAGCTCATCAATTACCCTGTTTTCATCTACTCGCAAAAGAGTTCCATATACTCAGACATCATCATGTGTCATCGGTGTTATAACCACAATATAATGTTTCCAAATTCTCCTTTTAGCTTTTATTATTTTGTGGCCCTAAAATCATCTGACTTAGTTTCCTTCACTGTTGTCTTTCCCATATTGCCTCATTTTGTGCATAAACTGAAAAATGAGTGTTTTCCTATATTGATTAGACTTTTACTATTTTATTGAACAAAAGAATAAATTCCGAACTTCTTACCTTAAAAATTTTAAGATCTTTATGAATATTTCTTAAAAATCCTTCTATTCCGGCTGGCCGTGGCTCAACAGGCTAATCCTCCGCCTTGCGGCACCGGCACACAGGGTTCTAGTCCCGGTCGGGGCACTGGATTCTGTCCCGGTTGCCCCTCTTCCAGGCCAGCTCTCTGCTGTGGCCTGGGAGTGCAGTGGAGGATGGCCCAAGTGCTTGGGCCCTGCACCCCATGGGAGACCAGGAGAAGCACCTGGCTCCCGCCTTCGGATCAGCGTGGTGCGCAGGCTGCAGCGCGCCAGCCGTGGCGGCCATTGGAGGGTGAACCAACGGCAAAGGAAGACCTTTCTCTCTGTCTCTCTCACTGTCCACTCTGCCTGTCAAAAATAAAATAAATAAATAAATAAATAAATCCTTCTATTCCAAATTCAAAACAGTAGAATCATAGTATTAGTTAGACATACTCTTCATGAAGTTAAAACAAATAAAAATAAAGTCACCCATGCACTAAGCAGTGGAATATCAGAAGAAATAAAGGACGCAAAGACATTTAATCTCTGAATTTGCAAATGTCTAAATGTCATCTACTTAATCATGCGTGCATAAAAATTTAGATGAGCTTCAAACTCTTAATGAGAAAGCTTAAATAAGTCTGTTACTATCCTACTACATAGGATCTGTCAATTGATTATGTTTCTTCTTCCCAGTAGCCACCAGTTTCTAAGTGCATGTGATTCATATTTGTACATTAACAAAGCACAAATACTTACCTGTGTAGAACCATAGCATTATTTTAACATGTCAAAACTAAAACCATTAGTGCTCAGAATTCTAACTATTCACTGAGTTACCATCAATATAATTAACTTTCTACACAGTTTTGCAAATCTTAATGCCAGTATCACCCTCAAGAGCATTGTTTCACATTTATGTAACACATTTATTATTGTTTACATAATGTTTCTAATAATCTTGTATAGATAATTCTTCCATGATATTTTTTACCCATTACTCTATTCTAATTTATATTGGTTTTGAAGTAATAGCTTTTCATTGAGAGTCATTAAAAATATAAAAAATTGAATTAAAAATAGATCACCTATTATTACCTAAAATCAATTCCTTAATGTGTTTGCATTAGTTCTCTACAACTGTCACAACAGACTTTCATAGGCTAGGTCATTTAAACAGCACACATTTATTTCTCACGTTTCTGGAGGCTAAAAGTATGAGACCAAAATGTTGAGCAGGATCAGTACTAAGGCAAGTGTTTGTTCCATACCTCTGTCCATAGAGATGGCCTTCACTTCAACATGTTGTTACATCATTTTCTCTCTGCACATGTATGTGTCAAGATTCCCTTGTATTGATTTACATCTCACACTGTTAACTTCTTTTTAGCTTAGTTGGCACTAAAAAGACTGATTCCAAATGCAGTCACCCTCTGAGGTATTGATGATAAAGGCTTCAACATATTAAGAATTTTGGAGAAGTTATGATTCAGTTTCTTACAGTACCTAATTGAATATTTTCTTGTGCATAGCCTGTATTTTTTTTTCCTTTAATTCACCTGTTTTTAGACTGCTGGCTCCATTGGAATGACCTTCCTCCCATGTAAGAACATATTTCTACTGTATACATTTTAATCTCATCATATTTTAATAGAAAACAACTAAGGATGCTTTTTACATAAAATTTTCTTGACCCCCTGTTTCTTTTCTGAGCACCCAATGTAAAGATATCTCTCCTTCTCTAGACTACCAGAGTGCATTAGTTGTACTCTTCCAAGAACAAATTCCCCATAAGTGAAATGTCTCAGGTTAATGTTTTAAAAAAGTTTTACAGAAAAATTTATAAATTTAAAACCAGAAAGAGTAATGCTCTTTTTCCTTTATAGAGCAATGATTATATGATAACTGTAATAACATCTCCATATAGTATAAGAGCAAATAACAAAAAAGAAAAAGAATGCCTTAAAGCAGTTTTCTTCTTCCTTTTACCTTCTACTTTCAATCAAAACTTCCATATTATACATCTAATACACCAAGAATTAGTATTGAGTGAAGGAAGGGGAAAACAAGTCCCATTGTGTTGCAACCATTGACAGATTATTTCACACAAGAATTCGCAAAGAAAAAGAGAAGAAGAACAGGGCCCAAATTATAGAAGAAAGCAAGAATCATGGAGGTCAAACAGAAACATGAGTAATGAAAAAACTAAATATTTAAATTACAATTTATTTACTCTCAAATAATCACATTATTTTGTTAATAAGTGAACTCATGCTTCACTTATTTCTCTATAATAACTATGTTATATAATTATGTAGGAAATATATTCGAAATGATGTATATAAGTATATGTCATGCAAATTTATTTAAACTGTATATAAGCCAATAAAGTAGGGTTCAGCTTTGGTATCAATATTGATATCAATAATATCAATAAAGAAATTCATGGTTCTTTAAAATTTTACTTAAAGTATACTTTTTTGCATTAATATTACTAACATATGTTATGACAATTAAGAAAGCAGAGCTGCTTTTTAAACCTTTAACAATGAATTATGAAGAGGAGCTATTAATCTGACAGGCACTAAGTTATATGCATTAAATATGCCTTTTATTTTAGTTTATCTTTTTCTTTTTCCTTTTTCTTTTTTAAAAATTTATTTATTTGTTTGAGAGTCAGAGTTACAGATGGAAAGAAAGTTCTTTCATCCATTTTATACAGTGGTTCACACCCCAGATGGCCACAACTGCTGGAGCTGGGGCAATCTGAAACCAGGGGTCAGGAGCTTCTTCCAGGTTTCCCACACAGGTGCAGGAGTCTAAGAATTGGGGCCATCTTCCACTGCTTACCGAGGCCATCAGTAGGGAGCTGGATTGGAAGAGGAGCAGCCGGGACACGAATCAGAGCCCATATGGGAAGGCAGCACCGCAGACGGAGGTTTAACCCACTACACCATAGCATCAGTTTATTTTAATAAGAAAATATACGATTGTAAGATTATTTAAGAAGAAAAATATCTTATGTGTACAAGTAAGTATCAGCTCAGTTGAAATCAAATGATAATTTCTAATTATTTCTTTATGCTTGAATAGATTGTAGTAGTGAATCTCATTAGATTGAAGAATGATTGTATTTTCTGTGCTTTCATGATGGAAGCCATGTAGTTGGGGAAACATTTCTCTCTGGATTCTCAAAAAATAAATAAATAAATAAAAGAAAGGAGGGATTTTTCATTTTCCACTGCCATAAGAAAAGTCAATAGTAGTGATATGGGACTGGATCAGAGAGATAGGATTAGATTGCTTAGATTCATGAATTTGAGACCACACCCACTCATGGCCCCTGCATGATCTCACCTGTATCTACCCACCTGTTAATCAAATTACATAACCATTCCCCTTTTGGAAGTGGATAAGAGGCTGGGCAGTGCAGTGGGCCCATCATGCTCTCCTGTGCACCTCTTGCACACATGGCCATTTGGCCACTTCTAGTGCCTGCTCATCTGTGCTGCTCACTGTGACTGTACTCTCACCCTGTCTAGTTTATCTGTCTGTGAAAGTGAGGTGTTGAAATCCCCATTACTATTGTCGTGTCTGTCTCCCTTTAGATCCATTAACATTTTTTTTAATAGCCAGGTGCCCTGGCTTGGAGTACATACACATTTATTATAGTCACAGCTTCCTGTTGAATTGACCCATTGGTCATTACATAGTGAGTGCCCTTCTCTGTTTCCTTTAACAGTTTTTGTGTTAAGGTCTCTTTTGTCTGATATTAGGATAGCTACCTCAGCTCGTTTTCGCTTTCTATTAGCATGGGATACCTTTCTCCATTGTATCATTTTCAGTCTACATGTACCATTTTTGGTAATGTGTGTTTTTTGTAGGCAGCAAATAGATGAGTCTGGTTTTTAAATCAATTCAGCCAGTCTGAATAACTTGGAATACATTTAACCAAGGAGATGAAAGATCCCTATATTGAAAATTGCAAAACTAAAAGAAGGAATAGAACAACACACACACAAAAGAAAAAAATCTTTCATGTTTGTGGATTGGAAGAGTAAATGTCATCAACTTACTGATTTTTGACAAAATTGCTCAGTCCATGCAGTGGAGTATGGATAATCTCTTCAGCAAATAATGCTGGAAAAACTGGATGTACATATGTAGAAGAATGAAATTAGATAAATATCCCTCATGATATACAAAAATTAATTCAAGATGGATCAAAAACCTAAATTTAAGACCTGAGACTACAAAGTTCCTGGGAGAATATATAATTTACTCTGAGATATTGATATAGGGAAAGACTTCTTAGACAAAACCCCCAAAACAGAGGCAACAAAACCAAAACTAAACAAATAGGACTATATCAAACTTGAAAGCATTTGCACAGTGAAGGAAATAATCAATAGATTAAAGACACAGCCAACAGAATGGGAAAAATATTTGCAAACTGCCTAATGATTAATATCCCAAATATATCAGCAACATAAAAAATTCAACAACTAAAAACCAAACAATTCAGTTGAAAAATGGGCAAAGATCTTCGATAGATAGTTCTCAAAAGAATAAGTGCAAATGGCCAGCAAATTCATGAAAATATGCTCAGTGTCACTAGCCATCAGGGAAATGCAAATCAAAACCCCAAAGCGATATCAACCTCACCTCTGTCAGACTGGCTAAAATCAAAACAAAAAGAGTAACAAACGCTGGCGAGAATGTGGACAAAGGGGAATGCTTACACACTGTTGGTAAGAATGTAAATTAGTGTGGCCACTGTGGAAATCAGTGTGGAGATTTCTTTAAAATTAGAAATAGACTTGCGATATGATCCAGCATTCCTACTACTGGGTATATACCCAAAGCACTTGAATACAACATGTAAAAGAGTAACCTGTATTAGCATGTTTATGGCAGCACTGCTCACGGAAGCCAAAACCTGAGTCAACCAAGGTTTCCATCATCAAATGAATGGGTAAACAAAATGTGTTTTATATATATATATATATATATATATATACACACACACACACACAATGGGATATTATTAGCCTATAACAAATGAAATTTTAGGTGGCTGGCACCCTAGTGGAGTAGGCTAATCCTCCGCTTGCAGTGCCGGCATCCCATATGGGTGCCGGTTCTAGTCCTGGCTGCTCCTCTTCCAATCCAGCTCTCTGCTATGGCCTGGGAAAGCAGTAGAAGATGGCCCAACTCCTTGGGTCCCTGAACCCGCATGGGAGACTGGGAAGAAGCACCTGGCTCCTGGCTCCTGGCTTCGGATCAGCGCAAATCCGGCTGTTGCAGCCATTGGGGAGTGAACCAACGGACGGAAGACCTTTCTCTCTGTTGCTCCCTCTCACTGT